ATACTCTGTTTTTAAACCAGGAGGAGTATTTTAAATTTGTCACCAGATTGACCTTGCACGTGATTGGTTGAATGCGAGGAAGGTTCACACACAGGCAATTTTGAATTTGAAGGTTAGGTTATTGACAATTCGACAGTTTCGTGTCATTATTGTAAATTTTGTGTTCTTAAACCCTTCTTTATTATATTTTGAAATAAATACACTCATAACTTCAATGTTAATTTGTATGTTTAGTGTTGACAATAACAAACGAAAATAAATATAATAATAAGTAAATAAATAATAATAATTATTAATTTAAATTTACCGCCAAAATATCTAGTGATATTTTCTGGTGATTTTTCCTAGTGTAAATCTGACTTTCGCGTTTACTCCTCCTGGTTTAAAAACAGAGTATAGCAATTATGTATTTAGTCATAAAATGGCAACCAGCGCCATCTCTTAATATATTTTTAAAATTGGTAGGCTTAACATGATTTTTCTGGCTGCAGTGGAGGTGGACTGCATTCTGTTTAGATTCTTTTTGTAGCTATGACGATAAACGGTAAGGTTAAAACCCACAACGGTACTGCGTCAATATATTCTTTCCACACAATGTGCATGTGGAGTATGAATATTTTTCGCTTCATGTGGAGGGGCGTACATTTCTTAAACTGTCCAAGCTCTCATCTATGTGGACTTAAAATTGTAATTATTTGACACTGTATAATGAATACTAAAAGCTATTAGCTGGCAATTGCCACATCGTTTGTAAATCGTCTGTTATTTAAACTATCACATTTTTAAACTGTATTTTTAATTCTGTAGTTATATATTTTGTAATAACTCAATTAAAATTTTATGCAATTTTATAATTTAGATATTTTTGTAAAATGTTATTAATTTTTCTAAATTTTTAATAATAAAGGTTTTTAATTATAATAATAATAAGCTTATGTAGGCTATTTCTTGGATAATGGATCCTCAATATCCAGCTAATTTAGTAATGCTTTATATAGAAGAACCAGATTTTCATGGACACGTTTACAGTCCAGATTCTACAGTTGTTGAAAATATGATAAAAAAATTGGATAATGTAACACAATATTTGCATGACAAATTAAGAAAACATCATTTATCTCATCTAGTTAACGTGATACATTTAGGAGATCATGGAATGATTAGTATAAAATATAAAAATATTTTAAACGTATCGAATTATTTGGAAAAAAATACCTATTCGTTCGCCGATTCGTCGCCCACATTACATGTCATACCAGAAGAGGGTAAGAATTATTTGCCTTTTCTTAACAGACATTGAAACAGAAATAATTTAGGTTACACAGATGATGTTTATAATCGATTAAAAAAGGCATCGGCAGAATTGGGACATTTTACCGTTTATAAAAAAAGTGAAATACCAAACAGATGGCATTTCAGGCGAAATATACGTACCCCACCTATTTTATTATTGGCTGATAAAGGATATGCGTTTGATGATTTTATTGACACAGTTGCATATTATACAAAATTGTATAATTTGAAAGGTGTGTTGAAAAGAAAATTCTTTCATTCCATTAATATTGAATTTTTTTAGTGGGACCAAATTCTTTGTTTGGAATGCATGGTTATGCAGTGGATATTAAAGAAATGTATTCATTTTTTATCGCTCGTGGTCCAAAAATAAGGAAAAACCACAAAATTAATCCATTTAATACAGTGGATTTATATTCAGTATTCGCAAATATTTTAGAACTGCAATCTCGTAGACCCATCAATACAAATTTAATAAAAGAAGTGGTGGATAAAAAAGAAACTTCACATGCTGTTAAAGTGATTGTTATCACAGGTATTATTACATCTAATAGTTTATTTTTTATTTCTCACTTTTAATTAATAGTTAATTATTAGTTATTATCTTTTTTGTTTGTTTGATCTTAAGTACAAATTTGTTTTTAGTGGTCGGTATGTCGTTATCGTTATTATTAATAAGTTGCGCGGCTGCAATTACAATAATATTAATAAGACGACAACAAAATATGACAACCGCTGCAGCTTTAAATAAACGATTTCCAAAATCTTTTCAACAAGCAGTTGAAGCACAACATTTATTAGAAGCTGAAGAAGCATAATATAGTTAAAATTTTATTCAACAGTGATAATACTTCTTTATTAAAAAATATCTAGACTTAACTTCTACGATTTAATCTCTTTTTAATAGAATATAGCTACTTTTAGGTATTATTTGCAGATTGTTAAAAAAGTAGTACTTAATTCTTAATAATTACAATAATCGATGTTATTTTTATCCCACAGTTTTGGTGTTATATGTATGGAAAGTAATTAACTTTGCATGGTCAATATTTTAAACAGTAGGAGTAAGTGATAAAGAGAAAAATGAAAATATGTTTGCTTAGGACCGTCCACAAATTTTGTGATATATGTACAAACCTAGTTTTAAGTTTGTTGTATTTGAACACCATTTTATGGATCTAATTTATTGTTTGTTATTTTAAAATGAAATTTTAACGAAAAATTATTTAAGAAAAATATGAGGTTGATAATCATTAAAAAACGTTCTAGTCTTATTGAAAACCATGTACTTATATCTTAAAAATGTTTTATGGAATTTTAAAACCTGTTGTGCAATAAAGTTTCTGTTATACAATTAAATTGGTTTTATTTAAAAAAACAATATTATTAATTAACTTTTTAGAAATATATTATTATCCACAAAAAAATCTATTATTTACATTAGATACTATATCATAAATAAGATCATTATAATAAAGTACAACAATATTAACAATTTTTTTAAAAGAAATGTAAGTAATAATCTTTAACAATCTTCATTCTCATCCGCGTTCGTTCTAGCTCGAGCTCCTTGCCTTATTTGGTTCAAACACGCCAACATTCTAATCATAAAAGCTGCTGGAACTGTTATTGTATCTCTTGTTTCTTCCAACATTATCTCATTTCTTTCCATAAGCTATATAATATTAACACATTAATAGTTATTAGATTTTTAAAATGTTTATTAGAGACAATATATTAAAATATTAGTACTAACCTTATTGGCTGTAACGCTATCGAAAGCAGGTTCATGTAAAACTGGAGCCCACAGTTTAATATCATGATCAATACCACTCGTTGCTAATAATGGTAATGATGGGTGAGGTTGTAAACAATTTACTACGTGTTGATCAGCTTGGAGCAACATTTGCAACTCAGCGTTATGGCGATTCCAAACAAAAACGTGCCCGCAATCGGAACCAGACATTACATAATCATTACCCCAAAATGTTGCTTCTTTTATCATTGTCCTAAAAACCTCTTTATTTCAAATACACAATATCACGATATATCACTTAAATTTTTTTTAAATAATAATAATTCTTTTTAATTTACCGTGCATTTCGATGTCCAGAATATTTCATTTTCCTTTCCGCTTCAAAAACGATATCGGAATACCCTGTTTCATCGGTTTCTTCATAATCCAACTCTACATCACCATCCTGCGGCTATAAAGCCATAAATGAAAAAAATAAAACGTATAGAAATAATCAAATACTTACTAATTCTTTGGTATCTTCTGATTCCGGTAAATTATCGTAAATAATATTAGATGGATTAAGGCTGATGGTGGACCCGGAAGTGCTCTGGTCGAAATAACGCAGACTAACGGAAGGTTCATCGCCGTGCTGCGCAATGTAACCCTGACGCAAGCTACGTAGAAGAGATAGATGTTGTCTTAGATGCCTAGTTATTATTGATGTATTAATTGTCGAGGGATCAACTGTGTGACTTGTCTGATTTGAAGACGTGGATTGGACTTTTTTTGTACTACAACGTAGAAAGAGACACACGCTCTAGTTTTCTTATTATTTATTTGTGTACTTGTTTTTCGTTCAATTTGCAATTTGCCACAGCCGCAATACCCATAAACAAGCCAATCAAGTTAACTTAGCTTAATTATGCTATTTAACAGCATTATTTTTATCCTGTGATTCTCCTTTTATCTTTAGACATAGTCAAACAGCGTATTCCTTACTATATTTTTTTGCAGGTGTTCAATATGATAAAACTTTTAGAGAGCAATGTTCTTTATTTAACTGAGAACCGATTTATCAATTTCCAGCTGAATCTGTTAGTTAAGTGACTAACAAATAAGCTGCCTAATGAAAATTTAATGTCTCTAATGTTTTAATTGAACATTTTATTATGGGATTAGTTAATTTTTTTAATATATAGACGATAAAAAAAGTATAAAAATAATTAGTCACGTGATTTTTAATCGTGTGATTAAATGAATAATGCTATAAAAACACAGGATAAAAATCAAATTAAAATGCCAAAGCACAATCTCACAATAACGTTAATAATGATCAAACAACAAAAATCTAAAATTACCAATTATCTTCTTTTTTATCTTCTCCGCCCTCGTCTTGGTTCTCTTCCTCACCATCTTCAGTTTCCATAGCTTCACTTCTAGTCGTTTGGGAACTGGAAGGTTGCGAAGAAAAATCTGCGCCTTCAGATGAATTTGTATCACAGTCTGCGTTGTTTTGAGATGAAGCCGGAGAAGTTTCCAAAACCATCGAATTATTTTCTTCGTTATTTTGCGAAGCTTCCGCGTTATTTTCATTGGCGTCAGCGGTGACGTCAACGGTTGCATTTTCTCCTTCCGGACCCCCATCACCCACAGCATTTAATGCGGCTCTGGTCATCGGATCGTTTAACATATGAGATAACACCCGAGTCATTCTTTGCATTAAACTACCATGTAATTGAGGGCGAGCTTGACTTATTTCTGCTACAGGATAGGAAGAAAACTGGCGTTATCAAAATGATTCAAAATAGAACTACTATAGATACTTGGATTTGAAGTATTTTCTCTTTCTGGTCTTGCATCCGGACCAGTATCGGACCAATCACCACGCAATCGAAGTCTTCTTACGGTAGGCGGACACTTCCATTCGCGTTTGTTTGAATTTTTGGATTTACATCTAATTCTCGGACCCCGCTTTAAATTCGTACAACTCACATCTTTTAAACCGAATAAATAGATGTGATCGCAAGAGTAACTGACTAACATATCGTGACCATCCGCGCTGTAGTTTAAAGAGGTAATACGATAGTTTTTCTCTTCTAATTCGGTTGCAACTATTGTTGAAAACGGTTTTATACTGCTCGCATCTAAATAATACAGATAATTAGATTTTCTTTTTAAGAAAAAAAATTTTTTTTTACTTGATGTGCTTAGAAAACGTCTATCGTATAATCTGACTGTAGAATCTGAACATCCTACTGCTAGATGATGTGACATCATTGGATTGATATCCAAAGCTGTTACTGCACTTAATTGGGAGACCAAAATATCTTCTTTACAACCCGATTTTTTACAACTAATATAGAAAAAAATATATTTTATTGGGATAATAATTGAATGGAAGTTGAATTCTAAGTATTTTCAATAAAATTGCCTCTCTATAGAATAATTTATATGTCAATTATTCAGTTTTAAATTATATCACTTTTAATTTCAATTCTCAAATCATACGCTTTTCAAAGATGATTGGTTACTGACCAAGTGTATATGCAAGGAAAAAAATACTATTTATAATTAACACCTTTTCACGGTATATAACTGCAGGACAATACATCTCAACGCCATTTGACTAGGCTTTGACACGGCACGTAGGGTATGTTGAGCAGGATTTGGCCCAGCATGAAAGAGCTGATGACCGAGCTAAGAACGCATCTGACTGGCGAGGGCGAGTTGAAAACGACTCGTAGAAGCAATGCAAGGCTTCAAACCTGAATAATCTCTTTTCTAACTGGATCACTTAAACCTTAGATTGGATGCTCGATCGACTTCGAAAGAGGAAGGTGAAAGTAGAACCATTACAATTTCTTAAACACTTTTGCGTAGTGGCTAATGCCGTCATCCCTGTTTACATGCAACTCCTTGGTATGCGAGTGGCTTAGATTTCATATAATTGGTAATGAGCGGTATAGCTGGGATTATTGACACGCTCGCATTTTATCTTTGGAAAATCAGTAGATTGGTTTATGTAGCTGGAGATAGAGTGGGGTCACTATCGGTGATTAATGCTTGATACCAGATTGTACTGCCTGTACGGCAGTCCTGGATCGAAACCGAAAATTTTCTAGTTCAGGCAAATATTTGCATGTTCACAGATGGACCAAAAACGCTGGTAGGGTCGGGGCAGGATTTTACTGCCAGAATCTTCAGATTAAGCAAGCTTACAGCCTGGGTATGTACTCTACTGTATTCCAGGCGGAAGTATTTGCTATTGACATGGGCGCTAAAATCCTTCTTGAGACAGGGGTGAAGAACATGACAGTACGATTTTTCTCAGACAGTCAAGCCGCTCTCCAGACGGTGAAAACGGTGTCGTCTCTGATTAATGACTGTAAAAGAACTTTAAACACACTGAGATGTGATAACAGAGTTTGAGTGGGGCCAGAACCAGCAGTATCATTTGCGATAGTCAAACAAAGGATTAGACTATGGGCTGAAGTGAGACTTTGCTTACTCTGGACCAGTTCTCCTGGAATGAGATACGCTAAGTTGTTTATTAACATGGAAGACCCTGCTGATAATCGTATCAGATTCTTGATCTTTGGGTCGCAGTTTATCTCCCCAAAGGATCTTTAGGAGCGAAATTTGATAATGTTATTTATTGAGGTACAATAAATCTGTAGGGTCGCGGTGTAAGGTTGGTTGCTCTAACTACCCAATATGTAATCTATGTAATATAATGTTTATTTAGTGATGCGCCTAATTTGTGAAAAAAATAGTCATTGGTTTTTGCTATTTATACTACAAACATTAGTCTGCAGAGGTAACCTTATTCATAACACTGCTTTGCCTTTGTGAATTACAAAACTAAAATGATAGTCATGTTATTAAAATTTTACAACATTAATACATAGAAGTTTCTCTATAGAGTGGTATCATTTTATTGATATGTTTTATTTAAATAAAATGTTACCTTGATTTTGTTCTTAAATCAAACCAACGTACTGTGCCATCTTCCCCACAGCTTAAAAATGTATTTGGATCATTGTATATGGTAATAACTTCATATGTTGTACCACCATGGCAAGTAAATTGATTATTATAAGTTTCCTTTGGTCTTTGTAAATCTAATTTAATTCATCACAGCAATTAATATTGTAACATAACATTTTTATGCAACATTAACATTCAAACTTACCTGTATGCAATATAGTACCATTTCCAGAACAAGAAACAATTTGTTGATCATTGCACATAGGTAAAAACTTTGCACTAAATATATTAGCATTGTGACTAGTGTTATAATCAACTAATACTTTATAATTATGACCATTTGTAACCATTAAATGTTGGTCATCTGATCCAGATAAAATGTATTCTCCGGTACTATTCCATTGTAATGTATTTACACAACCATAATGAACAGGTAATTTTTTTAATAGTCCCAATCGTTGTATAAAATTTATATTATCTAAAAATATCATAATACCATTAAGTAATTTTTATGAACATTTTCAATCAATGATTGTTATCTTACCTTTTGCATTTTTGTATAACTTAATCTTGTTACTTTTATAAGGTTGACAATAAATATTATTAAACACAGATTTACTCATTATATGTGTATAAATGAAGGAATAACAGAGATAATGTTAAAATAAAAATGTCAAATAAACATTTTCTATCATCTGCCAGAGACCATCTAAACCAGACACTCAACTAAAAATAAATGTTTTACGTTAGTTCGTCTTGTATCTATTTGGATCCACATTCAAAACGTTCAATTTCAACACTGGTTGGGTTAACAAGCGTGTCCGTAGTGATTATGAAGGTTGGAAAAATCTAATATAAAAATAACCTGCAAAATATATCAATTTTACATGTCAAGTTATCTTTTATTAACAAACGTGTCTATTTCAATCTTTCCTTCAAGTCTAAAGATATACTTACAACCTTATCGTAGTTGATGATGATTATTTTTTTTTAAACGAGAACTGTTAGGATTATTAGAAGTGTTATTAAATAATACATAAATTGGCTGGATTCATAACCAGGTGGATGTATTACGAACATATGCGCATGCGCAACCGGTATATTTTTATCTTGATCACGTTTTTAATACATCTTTTGAGTCTATGATATAAATCAAAATAAATAAATGTAAGAGTTAAATGTGTGATATATGAAGATTATTTTTTCCAATCCCATCAATCTTCAACAGTTTAAAACGGTTATAAAGAGATTTAAATAGAAATTTTGTTAAAATGAATAAACTAACCTTACTTTCAAGGTAGCGCTTTCCTTTAATGCAGTATATTATTTCAATTAAAATTATTCAATTAAATTTTAGGTATCCTCAGAAATTTTGTGGAAGTTTGTCTTTAATAAGAACTCTAGCCGATAAAAAGGTGCCTAGCAGTAGTAGTGATAGCAGCAGCAGTGATAGTGATTTAAATAAGAATAAAAGTCCTAATCAAGCTGCTGAAAGACTTAATATGCTCCTAAAAGACATGCTAAATGAGAAAACGATTGTCACTAAAAAACTTGACTTAGCTAAACCTCGCATGAATAAAGGAAAAGATGTACAAAATGCTCAAGTGAAAGTTGAATCTGTTGGTTAGTTTTTAAAGTTTATAATATAAAGATGTTACATTTATTTTTTTAGAGCAAAATGTAGCTAAAACTGTGAAAGATGTTGCTGAATCTTTAGGTGGTGATGTTAAACAAACTGAATCTGAGTTGTTGGCCAAGTTATTATCTACAACAGGGAAACCAAATCAATTCGATTTAAGGTCACTATTTAGTAATTAACTGATATTAACATAATTTTTTCAATATTGATCAATTTAAGGTTAACTTCCTGTCAGAATTGACAGATTCTAAAAGATAGGTTATGTCAAGAGATTTTTTCAATTAAAACTAATTCATTTTTCAAATTATTTTTAGTATCAAATAATTATTGCTAATAATAATTTAGTCATTATTACTAATTTATTTGTAATAATACTATATTTTGATCCAAAGATTTTAAAATTTCTTTTTATACAGTGTGTCCCAGGATTGATGTTACAAGAGGTATAATGACTTAAAAATTTTTGAATTTTATTTTAAGGCTGAGGAATTAAGCCCTGCTTCGTGTGGAGAGAATTTTAAGTATATTATCATATTTTGAAAATCAACTCGGCCTTGGTAGTAAAGCGAAAACTATTTTTAGTTCAGGTAACGTAACCTTTTTGTTCATGATACTGAAAAATGTTATTAAGTAAAGTTCTTCAAAATGTGAAATTATAGTCCTATGCAAAATTTCAGAAGGATCTATCTACTTTAGTTGAACCATCACATTTTAGTTTAAATAACATAAATATTGTATAATTTTATTTTATTTATAGAAAATCGAACCTAAACTTAACTGTCGTTTATTCAACATAACATCCACCTTTTTTTGCACACTTTTCTATACGATGCCTAAATTCTCTAAAGCTGTTCTGAATTTCTTCGATGCGTATTTGTCGTATAACATTTGTTATCCGTTCTTTTAATATTTTTCGATTGTTCGATATTGGTTGAGCGAAAACTAGTTGTTTAAGGCGACCCCATGAAAGAAATCTAATATTGTAAGGTCGGGAGACCTTCGAGGCCACGCAATTGGACCATTTCTAGATATAATCTTTTCTCGAAATATTAAATTTAACCATTCAGCTACACGTGCTGTAGAATGTGTAGAGCATCCATCGTGTTGGAAGTAAATTGCCTGTCTTTCTATCAGCAAAAAAAAATCTTATCTAAAATATGATAGTTTAATCAATGTAGGTAGATCTTTCTGACATTTTGCATAGTGCCACAATTTCTCATTCTGAACAACTTTTCTTAATGATATTTTGCCGTATCAGGAACAAAAAGCTTACTTTACCTGAACTAAAAGTAGTTTTCGCTTCACTATCAAGACCAAGTTGATTTTCAAAATATAAAAATATACTTAAAATTCTCTCCACACCAAGCAGGGCTTAATTCGTCAGCCTTAGCATAAAATTCCAATTTTTTCAAGTCATTATACCTCTTGTAACGTCTATCCTGGGACACACTGTATATCAATGAGCTCTCGTAAATATTGTTAGAAAGTGTAACTCAAGTTAATTTTTTAATATCAACATTTATATTTTTTAGTGAAACGATAAAAGGAATGAAAATAGTTACAGAAAAGAAACCATTGCCTGATGTTTCAAGATCATCTCAAATTCGTGGTCTTCTTGAACAATCAGAAAAATCGGGAATGCCATTCAAAAGAAGAGAACCTAGAAAATTTACGCCAACAGATAGAGAGTACGCTAAAAAATTATTGATCAAACAAAAAGTTATCTTGTTGGTTTCAGTGAAATTGTAAAAATTAATTTATTTGGAAGTAAACCATTAGGAATTTTTCAAACTACCGAAAAATATGAAGAAAGTCAGCCTTTAAAAACATGGCAATTTTTGCATGAACGCGAATTAAAATTGGCGGTAACTCATCCCCCATCTAATTATTTTCAAGAAATGATTCTTTGGACCGATCAGGGAAAAATATGGAAATTTCCTATTGATAATGAACAAGGTAAATTGGTGATTTACCCAAAAAAGAAATCATTAATGTATTTTTGTTAGGAATGGAAGAAGAAAAAAATATTTACTTCGCTGAACATGTCTTTTTGGAGAAACATTTAGAACCTTGGTGTCCACCAAAAGGGCCAATCAGACATTACATGGAATTAGTATGTGTAGGGTTATCTAAAAATCCTTATATGAGTGTAAAACACAAAAAGGAACATATAGAATGGTACAAAGAATATTTTACTGATAAAGAAAAATTATTGGCGGAAATTGGAGCTTTACCGCAAGGTTTTTCTATGTCACCAAATAAAAAAACTGTTTCTAAAAAATAAAATTATAATTTAATTTTAGATTAATAAATAAACATTTCAAAAAAATACGATTTATTTTTATTGCAAGAACTATTAAAATATAAAATTGCCATATAAGAAAGAAATAGGGAATTTTAATTTTATATGTTGGTATTAAACTCCCCAATTCATGTTGACATTGACAGTTATTTCTTGAATTTTCAAACGTGACAAAAAGAAAGCGAACAAACTTTTGTACAAAATGAAAAATCTTTTTGATTTTACAGCACCACCCGATAACGAAATAACACTATGCGAAGTAGACGGTCGAGTGCATTCCATGAATATCGAATTTGCAAATTTAAATATCTTTACTAATGTGGTAAGGTTATATTAACCCTAACCAAAGACAATTTTCGTATTGAATATAACATAAATGTGTTAATAAATTTAAGGTTGATGGTTATCCTAGTATCCATATAACGAGAGAATCTTTACATCCAATACGAACAGGTGAAGATGCAAAAGAATTGTTTATACCGGTTGATGTACCATTTACGAAACACTTGGTGCAAATCTTTTACGAACAAGGATATATGGAAGCTTTAAATGTAGCAGCAAATAACCAACAGTTTATATTATCAAAAGTGGCTCAGGGTGTTTTACAAATGATTGATATGATCAATAAGGTTAGATTATTTTGGGGTTCAACTGATTTACAATCAACCGTGTCTATTATGAGTACTGTTAGTCAAACTAGAAATTGGCCAAACGGTATATTTAGATGCATAGCTTGGCATTTTGATCAAACCAAACTTGCTGTGGGAACTTCGGATGATGTAGTTAGGATTTATTCTAAGGGAACTAATCTTGTTCCAATTTTACGATGTCGACAGCAAAGAAATATAAGTATGGTTTCTTGGAGACCTTTGTGTGATTCGGAAATTGCTGTTGCTTGTGAAACTTGTATTATTGTTTGGACTATTGATCCCAATTCAGTTGTAAGAAATTTTTGTTTTTTTTAAATTTACTATTTATTAATACAAATTTTAGGTAACTCGCCCTTCAGTTAGTAATGCAATAATTTTAACAGAAAATAATCATGCACCTATTGTAAGTATAGGATGGAACCAACACGGTAATATATTAGCCAGCGCCGCTGCAAACGACCAGAAAATTTTAATGTGGGACGTTGAAATGACTAGATCAACAGCTATTAAACGTCCAGGTGGACGGGGGAATATGTTTTTAAAATGGTCTTTAAGAGGAGACAAAATGTTTAGTGCCACAAATTCAGTAGTTTTCAGGTTTAAGATAAAGCTTTTCATTTAAAACAATTTTTTAATGCTTAATTGATTTATTTAGAGTTTGGGAAACATTTAAGTGGCAATCAGAAAAATGGAACACTTTATCAGGTAGAGTTCAAACAGCTTGTTGGTCACCATGTGGACAAATAATCTTATTCGCCACAACAGAAGAAAGTGTAATTTACGCGCTATCTTTCTCCCAAACCGAATTGATTTTTACAAAAGACACTAACACAAGTCCTAATATTGCTATACCTTTATTCGATGTCACTGAAGTTGATTTAGATGGGATTGTTGTTGGTGGATTGATTCAAAGTATGGATTGGGATCCAACAGGAAACCATTTAGCTGTTTTATTTCGCGATAGCAATTATGTAACCATTTTTACAATTACTTTTTTACCAGCTGTACAAATTAATGCCAGGTAAAAGGAAGTTGTTTATTATGAATATGTTATTTTATGTTTTGTTTATAGTTGTTTAGTTGCGGGTGCTCCAGAAGAAACTCCTTGTATGATAGCTTTTCAAAAGAATTTTAAACAAGGTGCTTGTTTAAGCATTGGTTGGTCAAGTGGTAGGTTACAATATTTTCCTATTGTTTATTCTGATACTTCAGCTTCAAATGTGATTAGATCTATTGCCAATACATATTGATATGTGCAAATTTTTCTTTTACTATGGAATAAAAATGTATATTTTGGAGTAATAATTTTATTTGAAAATTCAGTAATTAGTCGAAATCCTAAAATATTATCCTAACCATTCTTTTTAAAATTAATCATAATTGTTTTATTATAATAATTAGTACTATTAGTGAATAGTGTTGATAGTAGAGAACCCTAAAAAGGCAAGAAAATATGCAATATATGAAATATGGACGTTGGTTTAAATATGGACAGAGGAAATTGAACGTAAATAAATGGAAAATTGTGATAATAAATAAAAACGGAAATAAAATATAACCCGAAAAAAAAATTATTAAGGAACAGAAGAAAGAAGAAATATCATCATATGAGTAGTATAATATCACAAGATGGAAGGATAGATTTAGATTTAAATGCAAGAATAAGGAAAACAAACAACATAACATATCATATTCTAAACAGAACAATTTTTGGGAAGAAGGAGAGGGAAAGTGTACAACTCGGTGGTACTTCCAATATTAACATATGCCAGTGAATCATAGATAATCCAAGATAAACAAGAAAGGAAAGATCACAGCAATGGAAATAAAATTTTTACGGAAAATAGTGGGGAAGATGAAGTGGGATAGAATAAGGAATGTGGAAATGAGACTGGGAGCAGATCAAGAGGAGATAATCAGCAAAATAGAGAGAAAGCTACTAAACTGGTACGCCAACATAATTAGAATGGAACATAACACAATAGTAAAAAAGGTGACAATAGTGAAAAGGGATGACTTAGGAAGAAGTGGGAGGAAAGAATAGCAGAAGTTGGGAAGAAGAGATAGAAGACTCTAGCAGATATAAAGGAATTAGTCATGAACCGGAAGAAGTCGATGGAGGAATAGGAAAAGATTTATCCCACCCTATCAGGCATAAGGATCAGGAGAAGAAGTAGTGAATAATTATTTGGCCAATTTTAAGTATAGTTGATAAATACAGGGTCTGGCATTGAAACTTTCTTTTTTCAATGAGATGTGGTGCATAGCTGGAGCTAGTTGCAGAGTGGTAGCGTTTTTAGATGAGAACGTTGATGGGGGAATTTGTTTGTCAAACATCGTCACTTGTTAAAATGTATTGGGACAGAAAGCAACATGCATTTGCAGTAGAAACCTACTTTTCACGAGGCTAGTCAATCATCGTGGTGCAACTGGTGTTTCATCTACGGTAGAATATTCCCCTCAATATACTGTTCTTGCACAGGGAGCCATCTTATCGTGGGTGGAAGCTTTTCGGGCAGTTGGAAATGTGTCCCGCAAGAGACCAGGTGCAGCACGGATCGTTAGAATACCTACAAACATCGGCACTGTCTGAGATTCTGTCTTGCGATCTCCTATGCGCTCTGCTTCAAAATATGGCATGCAATACGTACCTTGATTTGCCTGCGGACGCAGTTATGTGGTTCAGTGATGAGACTCATTTCTACATCTCATGTTGTGTTAAGAAACAAAATATGCCATATTAGAGCGATATCAATCCAAGGGAACTCCATCAGAAGTTTCTTCATTCGGATTGGGTCACAGTTTGGACTTTGGTATCAAGAGTAGGGATGTGGATTAAACCACATTTTTTCAAAGAGGACAATTGCACGGTAACAGTAAAATCGGAGTGTTAAATTCATATTCTGAAAGCTCTTGAAAATTTTTCTGTTGCCCACACATCACGAATTTCTATGTGTCATAAGAGAAAATTTTCCACGTCGACTTATCTACAACGGAAGTGACATTTCGTGGCCTCCACGCTCAAGTTTTTTTTTACCTCAAATCGAAAGTATTTAACAACCGTGCTGCAACTCTGGAAGCATTAAAAAACAATATTCGTCATGAAATACCCTACAACAATGCATCCACAACAACAGTGCACAATTGGCAAATATTCTTTTTAAAACAGTTAGTGCTGGACCTTGTATTAATGAAAAATAAATAAAGCATTATTTTTATTTTTCTTATAGTGCTCCTCCATGGATTAATTATCATGGTTTTTATTGATTTATGAGATAAAACTAATATCAAATTGATGAGAGTTATTTCATTTTGTTGGGATGAGATTTTTTAAACAACACAATTTTTACAAAGTTTAAGAGAATGTTGGCAATTTAAAAGAGGATCATTAATGGTAGGGAAGATAAAATGGGAGAAATGCAAAAAGGAGTTGAATATCAAAAAAGTAGGATTGCACCTACAGAAATTTGATATATAAAAGGAACTGGAGAAGATTCAAGGAATCAATATTAACGTATAATTCATTAGTTTATTTAAAGTTTTTCGTTTTTCCTAAAGTAATTATCAAATTATGATTAAGTCTTGTTTAGTCAGTCATCGTATTTTTAGAAGAAGAATTGTTAGTATGATTTGTATTTTTATTTTTAAAACACGTGTATAATGTATTCATTATTTATATCATTTATGATATATTTGTGATTTACTTTATTGAGATTGCAGTCAGTTAAATAATATTGATAATACATTAAGTAATAAATAATAATTATAATAATATCTTGAGATCACTATCAATTTCTTACTTTCAAATTGAAACTTGTAGTAAATTTGTACTCATTTCTTTTACTATTTCTTAAATTCTAATTTATATTGTATAATTATTCCAGATTATCTCCTCAATCTTTGATGTGGCAGAGATACTAAAGTAGATTTGGACAAATTAGACAAAAAGCGATCTGCAGAAGAGAAACAGTTAATCACTAAAAGAAGACTTTAAGGTCATTATCTGGTAAACAATAGTGAAGTTAGCTAATTGTAAGTAAAACAACCTTTTTCTTAAATTGATACTGCAACGTTATTTTCATTCCTGCAACTTATTTCTTACAGTTTTTTCTAATATCCCTAAGTTATGATCAAAACTGATTAAACGAGTTTATTTATTTCAATAGCATTACTCGTACTAAAAAAGAATTATTTTGTCTAATTAATCTACTTTGTATCGCTTACCATTTCTATGTTCTCAATAATGAACTAATTATATAATACACTTCTCTATAATTAATAATTTTAACAATTTGGCTTTTGGTAGGAACAGCATTTGCTATCATTTTAAAACATACAAAACCGTTATTACAATAAAATCGAATATAAATATAAATATAATAAATTAATATTATCTATTAGCACTATCATTTTTTAAAAGATCTCTTAATGCAACGATATAAGTTTGGGCCATTTGAAGCGTTTCAAACTTACTTAATTTTTGTTCCGATTTTAAGTTAGGTATCACCTGCCTTAACCGGTCGAAAGCTTCGTTGAGACCGTTCATTCTCCGCCGTTCGCGCGCGTTCGCCGCCAATCTACGTTTCTTCATAACTGTCGGTGATGGAGGGCCGTCTCTTAAAACATTTTTTCTTCTATTACTACGCCGAATCCCACCCACCGATTTTTCTGGTTTACCAATTATTGATTTACCTCGAAAATCTAATCCTACAGGTGATGGATTTAAATCATAATAATCAAATCCGGCATCCGATAGAGTACTTTGACTTAAATCACTTGCAACTATTTCAAATGATTTTACTTCGCATACTATAAAGAAAAACGTAAAGAAATATAAAATTTTTATAGGGATTTTTTTAAACTTACCTTTTTCTGAATAAATTTCATGTTCGTCGCTGTATCCATCGTTGTAATCTCCAATATTCTTTTCATATTTGATAAAAGTGAATGGTGAATAATTTTCTGTATGGTGATAATTTTGAAAATGTAATGTCGATCTTGGTGGTTTTAATTGGTTGTTGTTTAAACATTCTTGATGACCGGTATCGATCAAATCCTGATAACCATAATAATTCTTTGCCACGTTCATGGTAACACGTGATTTAATATCATTAATTTTGAACTCGGGACACGTTTAATAAATTCAAACACTCAAATATTTGCTACCACCACGCGGCTTCCATTCACGCACTGTCAAGTACTTCCCAATCTTGGTCTTTCACTAAATATTATTTATCGACACCTCGTAATGACTTTGGTTTATTACTTCTTCTTCTTCGGTCGGGGTCGTTAACAGCTCCGCCGTTGAACGAAAGGCAATCATTTGCGTTTCACGTTTCACTGTCGGCTTCTATTCTTTACAAAAAGGTCTTGCGAAAGGGAATAGGATGGTAGTTTTAGACACGTTACGACAAAATAAGGAAGTACGAAATGTTGGGGCTTCAAAAGACGACCAAGACCTGGTGTAGGTCGTGTGCGTGTCGCGTGCCGACAACGAACACCTCTTTTTGATCAGATGGTCGATATCGAGGGGTGGGTATCTCGTTGGACTGTTGTTTTTCAATTGGAGCATTTCCTTTACGAGCCACCGTTAAAATTATTTACCCTCTCTCTTTTTGATTTCCTTTTTTAATGAAGGGTATGTATTAGCAGATGGTTCACGTATTTAATATAAATCTAATAAAAGATTTGATAGATTAATTTTTGATTTGTAAATGTTTAATACAGTAAAATCTCGATATAAGAAACCTCGTTAGAACAAACTTTTTATATAACAGACAAAATATTTTTAAGTCGTTAGACGTTAGAGCTCATTGATAGAACCTAACTTGGGATATTCCTCAAGTTGCTCTATTCCATGTCACAGATGAACTCGGGGTATTCCCCGAGTTTTTATGCGATTATAAATCATTGACGGTTGTTCTAGTTTTAATTGTTATTCAGCGTTAGATTGTTGTATATTTTTATTGAACGAAAAGTAGAACTAACATTAGACCTAGAACTAGAATCATTCGAGTTTAGCCGTACCTCTCTTAAGACGGCTAAACCCGAATATTTCTAGTTCTAGGTCTAGTGTTACTTCTAGTTTTAGTTGTTATACAGAGTTAGATTGTTGTATATTTTTCATTAAACTAAAACTAGAACTATAATAATTCGGGTTTAGCCGTACGTCTCTTAAGACGTTTTTTTCTAAAATTAATTTTAGATCGTCACCGTAAGAATCACCTGATAAAGTACCGGGTACAAGTCAACAATAAAGAAATGTGTATACATATTCATGTTATCGTCGGCGACGATCTAATCATCAAAAGCATCTTCGGTTAATTACGGCATCTGTCACCGTCCCGAACGGTCGGTTGTCGTTTTATCAAAGAAAAAACGTCTCTATAGCCCATGCCTTTACGGTCGGGGTTGTTAGTTTTCTTATCCCTACCACTTCGATGACCGGCACGTGCTCGGCATAAGGTGTTTTAATGTTAAAGAATTTAAAAAAGGCCGACGGATAAAACTGACCAAAACGCCGCGGCAGATGGTAGAACGATTTTTGAACTCAATGTAACGGATTAGGATAAATTTTATTGTTTTATTTTGTTTCAATTTACATTGGTTTAATTAAAAGTTTGGTCGTGATCAAAGAAAATCTCTTCAATAGCCGATTGAACGGCGTGTTCTTTAAAAAATAATTCGGAAAGAATGATGTTTTCGCATTCGTTGTAAGTACAACATCTGGCTGTATGAAATTTGCATAATTCTTCAGTTTGGCAAATTTGATCGGTTTGAGGTGGTTTAATTTTTAGATGGTTCAAAAAAGTGTTCATTTTGGTTATGGTATCAACGCACATTTTAAATTTATCTTTATAACGGCTTAATTTTTCTTTCGATTTTTTTAATTGTGTCGAAACTTCTTTACCATATTTTTTTGCACCTTCAAATTTATCTTTTAACTTTCCTATTTCATCAATCAAAACCATTTCTTGGTCTATCGCTAAATTTTCATTCTTCGAATGTATACGTTTCAATTCCTCAATCTCTTCAGCATGAACAATTTCTTTTTTATTTAAAGCTTCCGTTTTTTCTTGAAATAAATCTTGTAATTCTGTAAGTCGTTTTTGAAACGAAATCATTTCATTTTTATAGGTAGATTTACTCTCGTTTAATTCACATTGAAGTTGTTTAATTTTATCTTCGCATTCTTGTACGTTTAAGGCCAACAAAGCATTTTTATTTGCTAATTTTATATTTTCATTAACAATCATTGCCAAATCTGTTTGTAAATTTAATATTATTTCTCTTTGATTTGATTGATCCCTTCCCGATCTGCTACGAGTTGGAATTGTATCACAAGACATTTCTTTTCGTAAAGCATGCTTTTCATGTGCTCTTGAGAAACGTGGACATGTGTCTTTTGACATTTAATTGATGATTATTTCTGACATTGATTTAAATGTAACAAATGAGTTTTTATGAATTAATGAATAACAAGTTTAGTATTAGTAAGGTAGGATGTAAAGGAATAATCTAGATTGAGACATACTTTCCATGCATACTTTACAACATATATATATTTTCTAAATATTTTCAGCAAACATCTTCCCGATCTTCTAAAACATATGTGCTCCATGGAATGGCTTGCCCATCCGTGGTTCCACCTCTCCTGCCAGTGCTAATATATCTCTTCTTTATTCTGTTGTCGCCTGATTCCTCTGGATTGCTAGTCCAGCCCAACTATTTTCTTTTTCCGCAGAAAAGGATAAAATACGCACTTCGAGTGTGGGTTTGCTCGTAGCCCCCAGTTACCCACTGAAAACTCTGCAGAACCTTCCTTGTTTACATAAAATCAGTCTACAAATTACTTTCTTACAATAAACCTATTTTCATAGTTGAGTTATATAAAGATAGATATATCTTGAGTGTTAAAATGTACAAATTTCTTTCTCAAAGTCAAATTTTGAAGCTTAAGAAGAGTAAATGCATAAAAAGTGCCCATTATGAATCAAAAAATATTTTAGAAATTCATAATAGGTTGAGATTACGTTATTAGAACAGTTGGTTGCAATAAAATCGCAGTGTGTGTATCTCGTTCAATAAATCATAACTTGTGCGGCGTCTTCCGTTAAAAAGTCCTGATAATTCGAAACGATCTAATATAGTTCTTAATGTGTCTGGTCAGTTCGAATTCCGTTAGAGAAACGGCATGAAAAACCGATGGTTTAATAAATTATCATTGACGTGGCTTACAGTTAGTAATTTTTTCCATACGCGGTGAACCTGTCGGTCTAGTTCTAGAATTTTACGATTGCACATGGACATTAGAAACAGGACGTGTGGATTATTGTCGAGTGTTAACGATTAGATGCAATTAAATGTGTATCCGTGGACGGGTGGTTTGTGAACATATAGCAGACGGCAATGTTTAGACATAAGAAAGTCATATGATTCTACTGATGCATTATTTATCATTGCGGCAATTAGGTGGTCGTAAAAAGAACTGGTATACGAATGTAGTGAGTATGATTAAAGCTAGATTGAAAAAATCATTTGAATTATATCGCGATAATGTCAGCCGTACGTGTAGAATTATTTATGTTTTCTCTCCTTATATGATATATCGACCTAGCTGACTGTGCGGCCGTAATGTTTTGCCTTTTTTTGCATTACTAACAGTTTGTTCGAGTGTGGCCACAAGCAATTATATGTTTTATTGAACCTTTTGCTTGTTCAATTAATTTGTTACATGATCCATGAACCACTACATAGTGCGCAACTGTATTGATTTCCATACCTGATTTAAATTAAACACTAAACAAATAAAAGAAATAATTACGCTTTTATGTTATTAAAAAGGAAATATAACATAACTTGTACTCTCTTAAACTTTCAATTTATTTCCAGTAAATTACTTAATTGAAAATACAACTACTTTTTGTATACATTCACTATTTATTACTAATTACATTACTTTAATACGTTTAAGGTGATATAAATCTATAAATTTAAATGTTAAAATTCAATCAATTTAAAATTAATTTTGGATTAGCGTCATAAATTTAATAATTTCCTTACTTGATTTAATATAAACTGGCTATTAGTAAATGGTTCACTATAACATAAAATAAGTGATTATTGAATGAAATGACGTTATTTAATTTTTAATTATTGCTGATAACTGTTTTTAATCGTACACCTTTTCCTTCAAAAGAAAACCGCTATATGTTATGTTATATACATTGTCTATGTAATATCTCACATTTGCGGGAAAGATTTTAGAATGTTGCGTTTTACGGTTGCAGTAGTAATCATTTCTGTGAAAATAGATTTACGTTAACAATTAAATTGAGTAATTAATAATTTATTGCGGAATATAGTAGGTTTTTCAATTAATCGATCATACGTGACTTTTTTAAAAATTAATTGACGAATTAGTAGTATTTAATGATCTTAGCCGTATGTCGTAGATAGAGGTTGAAGCGATTAAGCCTGAAATTTTAATTAATAATTACGATATAATATACTGGTTAAAAGCCGATTGAAAATTCCATGAATTTTCCGAATAGTTGTGGAATAACTTAATATATAAAATTACTTATTTAACTAAAGTATTAAGTTTTTATAACAATGTTTATTCCAGGATTAATATTAAAGAATAAAAAAATAGGATAAAGGTTGGTAATGCTAAAGGGGCAATAGAGTAGCTCACTGAAATTTAAGCGGCATATAAAGGATTTTTGATCACCATTGACCATCATTTCCATTACCACAACCGAAGATAATGAGCGAATGGTCTCGAAAACATTAAATTAAATATTAAGCGTCGTAAGGAAACCGCGTCATTGTACTCGTTCAATAGCGATCAACGCATTCGTCGCCGCGCCGGTGTAAATTATGTAAAGTGCGCTCTAGAAAATCAACGGACAATATGCCTCGACATAGCATAATGTCCCGACGGTCTTATGCGCGACCAGGAGAGCATTCAAATGCAGAACTAACAGTGCTGGACATTATTCATAATAATATAAATGTTCTGTTATGCGGTAAAAGAGTCTCTCCCCCTGGTCTCGTATTGTACGATTATTGTAAAGCTTCGCATCGGTTCCGTTAAGCAATTAATCATGAGATATTAATTTTGCAGCCAAGCCACGTCTAAGTGCTTTCAGCGAAACCGTTTGCACTAACACCGCCAACACTACATTCTCGTCATGTTTATTAATAGAGCAGTATTAGTAGTTACTTAATAACTAATCTTTACAATACTATTATTTCAATATTCTCATAAATACATATATTATATTATATCTTCTATCTGATGTGTAAGTTATTCCTCTAAGATTTTAATGGAAGGTTTTGCAGAACTTAAAAATCAAACTAAAAAAGAAGAAACTTCTTCACAATTTTTGTGACTGAAATTGAATTTATTTTAGAGGAAACCCTAAAGAAAGAACTCTTTCTGCACAAGCGACAAGCATTAGTACTCAATCTTTCGAGCACTTACATCATATCATGCAAAGATGATACACCCCTTGATTATTAT